TTTATATATATTTTTAACGTTAATCTACTTCAGTAAACTTTAATCTTACAAAATTCTAGTCCATATGATCTACGTTTATGGTTTCCTTTCACTTTTAAATGTCACGTGTTATTTATTATTTATTTTTATGCATTATATTATAATACAATTAGTTCAGTTATGATGCTTCATTCCTATTTTCATTGACTGTTTCTGTACATTACACTATGAACTACTCTCTGAAATTCAGTAACTTACAACTTAATCAATCGTTTTCTAATGTGCAAGAAAACACCTCTTTGTTGTAATGTGTAATGCTTATAGGAATACGCCTTAATTTCTGAGGTATAATCTATCTTACATTTGTAACTGTGTTTTGTTACTGTCCGTAGTAATTTTTTCTTGATAGTTTAATCGGCTTTCATTTTGTTGTCTCATGGTTTGTTATTCCATACTACTAACAATTTTGGGACTATTACATATTGTTACTTAACCAATCCTACATTTTAACATATTATTCTTATATGTAGTTCTCCATTCATGGTGTCACGTAAGTTTAAAAAGATCATAAATATCACATGAATCGAGGTTTGCAAACACTGTTGTTTACACTGTCCTTGGCATTTGACACCGTTATTGTGCGTAACTCGATTGCTCAATCGGGACTCTCGACAGATTCAGTAGTACCCGATGTTAGTATAAGCGCATTGTTATTGCGTGAGGTTGTAGAATACAGTAAAAGACATGCTAGTTTCTAAAACAAGGCATTGGAAAACAAAAAATCGACATGATTCAACGTGTAACACCGTTCATAAATGTATGTTGAATGAAGGTGATGAACATTATATAGAGAAAACTAAATGACAGGACATTGAAATTTTTTATCGTTATTTCCTCTTTAGGAAAAATGTTTCTAAAATTTTTAATGAACGCGCATTTTTTTATTCGACAGGACGTTTTGAAGACAGTGTTGCTATGAGGTTTAATCCTAGTGAATTTATTTCAAGAGAAATCAGAAAACAATCATTTTAGAAGTGTAGTAAATGAGTTAGAATTTTGTTATAGCTATATAGATGACACTTCATTATGCTATAATATAACTGAAATTAAGTTGGCGTCTGGTAACAGTAATGGAGTAATTCGATTGGATGAAACTATCGAATGTAAACCAAAACGTATCCCTGGTCTACTGGATAGGAAGTGGTTATTCATTAAAATTCTTTAACAAACAGATTTATTCAACTGAAAACAATGTGGAATTATTCAGAGTGTAGAAAAACTATCACTGTTCTTGAAACTACAGTTTAAATGTAACAGAACCAACACAAGTCTGATGCAACTTGTGAGATATGTCCTAGAATATTATTTAGTGCAGTAAGCCCATGAACTTCCTTCTACGTTTAACCAACAGTGAACTGTCAAATTAAAGGTAACCTGCCTAGTTCTTCCAAGTCCTTGTGAACTCAGCAGTCCAAATGTTCTTGATGCACCAGTTATCTCGGACATGCAACTAGTCAAACTAATCATAATGTTTTTGAATGTCTTTCCTGATAGTTGACCGAAGGATAAAAACAGCAATAAGGAGCTCAGTTCTGGCACACGTAGCTGATAGTAGACAGTTACCTTTGAAAATTATGTATAAAATTCCATTACAACTGCCTTATTCTTCCACGTTTCATTTGTTGCATAGAGATAAATTCACAGGAATACGTTTAAATTAACTTCTGTATAGAAACAACGTTTTGAAACCCAATTATTCACCCTGACTTTCCATTGAATTTCATAGTCATGCGTATCGTCATGTCTCATTATTGCTTCATTGTAATTTCGACTTATATTCTCACGTTCTCCTTAATAATCTGTTTATCTATTTTCATGGTACTCACTTAATGAAAAACTCATTATTTCTAAAAGTAGCACTCAACTTTTGTATGCTAATGAGTTTACATCGACTACTGGGGAGTCCAATACTAGGACCAATCTGCCATTCAATGCTTTCAGGTTTTTAACAGTGGTCTAACATTGATTGAATTATTATCTCAATCAGAACTCAAAACAACTTCTTGTTAAAGTTTTAGAATTTATACAACGGATTAATCTTCCTAAGTTCACATTTGTAAATCAACTGATTTCTGAAATAAAACAAATGAACTTCACCCCACAGTCTCTATGTACCGTGAAAAACATCAGTAATACATCAGATTTATGTCTTAGATAATACGAAATTTAGCGTTCCTGAAACACTCAAATGACTATCACACAGTGTATGATATGGGGTTGTAAATCAAACATAATATGCAGAATTATAATTGAATTATATGCACTAAAGATTAAAAAGGTTAAATGAATAATAAGCTCAAAAATATAGAACAGTATAAAAGTAAAATAAACTGTTGATACCATCATATTAATGGTTTCATTGTTTTATTTAGACTTCTTTACTCCTATATAATATACCATTGGGAGTATAAACTATTAAAATTAATTTTAGTGGTAATAACGAATAATGAAGCCATAATCTGTTGTTGGGCAATCCAACATGATATATACACGAATCTTAAACATTACAGAAGGGTCATCAATTCAGTGATTGAATAATATTTGCTTTAGAAGCAGATAAAATCGGATTACTATCATCAGCTTTTAGACTATATGAAACTTCCTAAATCTTCCGGAAATCATAGAATAGCTGCAGAAAAAGTGATCCAAACAATTACAACAACCTTACTAAGCATACTCTTTCTAAAGGCAAAACAGAATATTACGCAACATTGCCTTCAGGAGAAGAGTGCATAGCATAAACATTTTAATACACGGACAACTCTTTAATTCTGGTCACGTTGCCATAACACCCATAAGAATTAACAAACGTATTCACAGAGTCCACGGATTATGATTATACGTACTCCATAGGTTTTAGCAATTCATCTATTTAAGTCTGAACTCTAAGAACTAACGCTGTAGAGACAACTCCACATTCTATCATGCCTAAATCCTTCAAATATGTTTTGGTTTAAATTTGTTCAGTAAACAGTTGTTATTATCCTATTCCTATTCTTTATAACTAATATTAAAACAAATGGTCCCTTTGATAAATCTCGTTAGTGTAATAAGATGTTGATTATCAGAACTGTGATATATTAGCGCAATACATTACGAACAATCTGATCACACATATTATACTTGATTAGAACATTTATATATGTAAAATAAAATGTCAAATGGACTGGAAAGAAAGGGTAGGAGGAGACAAAGATAATAAAGTAATACCACAAGTTGAAATCATGAGCCAATTGAAGCTATACCACCATGGAAAACCTGGAATCACTGGACGGCCGTTTCGCCCTAGTATGGGACTCCTCAGCAGTGCGCATCCACGAACCCGCCCCCCGCGGGATTCGAACCCACGATCTACTGGCTTCGCGCGCGAGCACTTAACCATTAGACCACTGAACTGGCCGGCATCCAACGGTGTTAATGTCTAACTTCAACCAATCCACGAAGTTGCGCCACCGTACACCATTGTCTTCAGTGAGTTCCTATCTCACAACAGACCTGGTTGAACTCCACTGGTAACGAAAACTGGTAGTGAAAACAAGTTGAACCCTCATCACTCGTATAATTAGCAAATATCACCAGAGTAGGTTTGAGGTGAGGACAAATTGTGTTTGAATACACAGAGGGGTTTTAAATTTTCTTATGGCTAGAGATTCAATAAACGTTAGTATACGCCCTTTTACAATTTTGTACAACACCACTAAAGCCGAGTTAGGATAAGTCTTACGACCTGTTTCAATTATGTGCTTGGCAATAGACGTTGATAGATGTTTATCCCCTACTCTTATTTGTTATTTCCTTGATAATGACCGTCGCTTCACAATCTGTCTTGTTAATGACTGATTTAAGCCTTTGTTTCAATAAAAAGCTATTTAAATCACCTCTAAATGGTAAGGTGATGTAGACAGGCTTTTTTCTGCCAAAGCTATAGTACGTCTCACTGTACCATAAACTTTCCATATATTCATGAATTTAAAGGGATAGTCATTTTCCATTAATGTTTTATTTAACAACCTGACATCATCATCAATGGCGTCGTTTGTACACATACGATCAAACTTGTTAAATAGGCACCTTATCAAACCCCGTTTGTATTGCACGGGGCATGAACTATAATAACCAAGTTATTGACCTGTCCACGTTGGTTTTCTTAAAATGGATCGTTCGATTAAGCCATCTTCTCGTCTACTTAGAAGTATACTTAGGGAGGGAAACTGGTCTTTCTTCTGCTCTTTGCATAAGAGACTGTTTTGTTTTTGGAGAGTGTTAAATTTATTCAATAAACAGTACATATCCTCCTTTCTTTCACAGACAACTAAGATATCGCCCACATACCCCTCATAAAGTGACATGTTTTCGATTAGGTCCTCAACCAGACCTTTTATTTTTATATATAAATGTTCTTAACAAGTATATGTGTGATCAGATTGTTCGTAATATATTGCGCTAATATATCACATAGTTCTGATAATCCTTGTCCTCGTATTACACTATCGGAACAAATATCAAGTTATTATTCGATAACATCATAACCTTCTGTTTTTCTTCACTAATTTGAAGTGAATAATTATCTCACTACTAGTCTGCAAGTTATTTTCATACCTTGAATTGTTTTCGTAAAACTTTTTAGTTATCCTTGAAGTATCTGAATACTGTTTGTTATAATCTCTTTTCTATTTTATCATAAACTGATATATTGAATAGACGCAAATGTAAAGTCTCATAGAAAAAGAATTTTTCGTCAAGGAGTTTTTTTTGTATTTCTTCTTCTTCTTCTTCTTCTTCTTCAGTAAACACTATTTACTGAGAAGCAAATGTTAAATGATTACGTACACTGTAACTTTGTTTATTGTATTAACAAATCACTTTAAAGATTTATAATAATTGGTTAAAAAAGTACTTTACTTTCATAATAAAAGAAATTGTTAGACCTTTTGAAATCATTGTTATCACTTACAGAGGTTATGTTAACGGAATTAAATAAACGAGTTATACAATATGGAGTATTTATTATAAGTTTATTGGTGATAATATCTGGAGGTTCAGTCCTTATCTATTTTGTTTTAACTAATAAACAAGGTGAGATATTTCTTAAACAACTTTTGCTATATAAACATTTTGATAATTTCATTGTACACAATCAACTTCATTATTATCTCGGACGACATAATTCAATACATTAGTGTATATAATCACATGTGGTAATAATAACTTCTAACGTATTATTTATGTCAACAGTAGAAGTTAATCACTAAGATTTATAAGTCGTTTTCACAAATTATACACTATTTCTTCAAACACAACAAACTTATTTGTGTTTATATAAGACAAATAAGGTAATACATTTACTGTTATGACAGGTCTGAACAAGAATTCATGATTATTATGTATAGAGTCAGTGATAGCAACGCTCTCCTTAAAACCTGACAACATACTAAAATGTTAAACAATATCGATGAAGCTATATATAAACATTCATAGTTGACTGTTTAGAGAAATAATGAACATTTTCAAATCACACTGGCAATTTAACTAACTTATAAATATAGCTAATTTGGGAGTGAAATTGAAATTCAGACATTCACTTTAGCTTATTGTAAAGAATAATGTCACGTGCTGCGAAAATGATAGTACTCACATTCCAATAGGACATATATTCAGAGTTTCTGATAATTAACCCGGTTAGTTAACTCGGTTCAAAGAAGAACACATTTAGCCGCTTATGTTAATGTAAAATCTGAAATATTTACCAGTTCGAATCACTTTGACTTGTGTACATTACTTAGTATATTAGAAAAACAGAGTGTTTGACGTTCCTATTAGCTTGCATTTTGTTTAACAATTTTGTTTGATCTGTAAACAAAGCAAGTTGTTTTATATATTCCTATAACACTGCAAAATCCTGTTCATCTGTTAGTCATAAGAGAAGAAAAATCAGATTTAAAAAAACCCTAGTTATGTACCGCCTAAACAGCTGTAAAATCTTTATGAGTAGTAACCATCAGAGTTCGTTTGTTAATCGGTAGTACATATTTATTTTAATGTTAGTTACCGTCAAGATAGTAAGAAAAATTATAATGAAGTCCACTTACTTGCTCAATACAGTCAATAACATTTTAGAGTTAAATTTTTTGTAGCGCCAAAGAACTTGACAATTTATCTTCCGAACGACACTAGCAACTCAACTATCTCAGATGCTTGTCATGATTTTTACCAGTTTGCTTGTGGAGAATGGGAAAACCAAAATCCTTTGATTAGTCAAGACGCTAGTTTCAATGCATTTGTTGAAATGGAAATAATGATCAACCATTACTTCTGGAAAATAATTGGTAAATTATACTGTAGTAGTATTATTCTATTAAAATGTTAGTTAACTCATATCAATTCACCATAACGAAGTATTTTCTAAAATCCAAATAATTTAACACCTACCACTTTCATTACACTAAATGCAGATACGAGTTTTCGCTTAATAAATATGTAATAAGCAGTATTATGAAATAAATCCTTATCAGTTGTGAATGAGTAGTCATGTTCTATATCAGAATATCAGTGATTGAAGTTATTCTCAATAGGAATAGATTATTTTAAAGTGAAAAGTTCAGGAAAATAGTTAATAGGAGATTATGCATTAAAAGACAATAGTTTTTTCAATCAGATACTTTGTTTAATCAAATGAAATTTGTTTGTTCAATCTACATTATTTTATGATAACAACGGGTATGTTGAAGCTGATGAGTCCTACGACATAGAAGATTCACATCTACAGAATGCTCGAAAGTTTTACAAATCTTGCGTATTCACTCGTAACTGGAAAACAGCTCAATTAGCTTATCAATCATTAATACGTGATCTATTTGGTGGATGGGAACTAATACCGTCAATTTCAACAGACACTAAAAAAATGAGTCTAACTGATCTATTTTTACCAATAATAAGTCAAACTGGTAGTTCACTTTTATTTTCAATAAATATCAAGCAGGATTTATTCGCCGTAAATGTAAGTGTTTCTTTCATAAATCTAATTTTAAAAATTGTTAAACCTCATTAGCTCGAAATGTATCAAAACCCCCAATAATGCATCAAAATATTTAGTGTTAGTCGTTATGGCGTTTTGAATGGGGTATCGATTGCCTTACAACATCTGAAATTCCTGATATGTGGGCGAGAATGGTAATGATTGGTTGTTTGTCTAGTCAGAAATGTTGATAATTTGATAGATGTTAGATGAGTTATATATTTTCGTATCCTTATAATTATTATTGTTGATTGTTCATTGTTGTTGGATTGTGTGGGGTTTTAGGTGTAGAAATATATTTACGTTCTAGTCAGGCTAATCACGTATTCTTGATCTGAGTTGTGTTGAAGTCTTGTAGAATAGACACTGAGAGGGAATCTAATGTAGATATTCGTCTAAGGTAAATTAACATCCCATTCGTTTAAACGTTGAAAACCCAACCGTTATAACAATTACAATTAAATCTCATTCTTCCTTTCACTACTATAAATTGTTTTCACATAATTCATGTCTATCTGAAAACTTTACAGTAAGATTACTGTGATTCTTTAGTGAAAATATGCATTATGTTGTAATGCAGCATTTTCGGTTTGTTCGAGATTTTACAATTCACAATCGTAAAAGTGACAATGAAACAAAATAGATAAAAAAAACGACTTGATTCCAACTCTTTAAATGTGAATGGCACCTCTTTGTGATTTGCCACAAAATATATCTGTAACAAAAAATGATCTATTTGTTTTAACCAGTAGTTGAGAACAATGTATCCCATCTCACATTTTTCTACATGAAAAACTACAAAAAAACAGAACTTCATATCAATTGTGTTTACCTTGCAAGTGATACTTTGACTGTGATTCAAAAACAGTAAAATATCACCAATTGATCATCTTTTGTTTCGTTTCGCAAAGTGATATGATTTTTATGAATCATGAGAAAAGTAAAATATAGTTATAATGACATTCTAATCCAAACGCTTGCAATAAAATCTGTCTACCTGTGTCGTATGTTTACCATCAAAATATATTTTATGATGTTGCATGAAATTCTTTCGCGTTTAATGTTGTTTAAAATGTTCTACACAACATCAACTAGCTACATTGAATAACGGAGTGCTGATATTCTTTGATTCATATAGTCATTAACTGCTCTCCTCTAGTATCTTAGCAAACTCTAATCAATGAAAAATAAAATACGTTTGGTCAGATAGCATTCTAAATAGAATAAAGTTGTTTAGTCATGTAATATGATAAATAACTGTCAGAAAAACTGTATTACAGTATATTCTCATAGCTCAATTTGATTAACAAAGATTAGAAGATTTAACACGAACATTCATTAGATTTCACAAAAGCTAATCTATGAGATCATTTTTACATATAAATAAATAAATAAATGACTTCATCGTAATCTATTGATAAATAAATTTGTTATATTACATATGGGAATCAGGGAATCAAATCAACATTTTATGATGTCCTATTTCAGCAATAATGACAAAAATATGATTGACACAAGTCATTTTTCAATGGTTAAGATCAAGAGTCACTCGAAGCCAGACCACCATGGAAAACATGGAAGCACTGGACGGCCGTTTCGTCCTATTGTGGGACTCCTCAGCAGTGCGCATCCATGACCTCGTCCCCTGCGAGATTCGAACGCAGGACCTACTGGTTTCGCGCGCGATCACTTAACCACTAGACCACTGAGCTGGCCGGCATCCAACGGTGTTAATGTCTAACTTCAACTAATTCACAAAATTGGGCGACACATTCACCATTGTCTTCAGTGACTTACTATCTCACAACAGACCTGGTTGAACTCCACTGGTCACTACTTCTCACTAGAACTCCAGGATATACCTCGTGAAGCCAGTCACTAGTGAGCATATGTTGATTATTATCAGATGGGTTTTGTGGAGATTGTAGTAATTGTATTAGCTAGACCACCAGCTTCAACTGACTCATGATCTTAGCCATTGAAATTACTACAATTTCCACAAAACCCATCTGATATTAAACAATTCATTTTCTTATCATTTGTATTATTCTAGCCATTAATAATTTATTTCTCTCTCATAAATCCACTAAATTATATTTTATTATACTACAATAATCAGATTTCACCAGGTCGGATAGGATTAAATCCTGCTTCAATACAGGTAAATGTTACATTTATTTAAAATTTTGGTAGTTTTTAAGTAATCTAAAGATACCTTCAATTCACTATCTTTTATAGTTATGCTGTTAAAACATCAAATTAAAATTAACCAATAAGACATTGTTGCTTTATTTAATAGAATGATTAAATACTCATTTCATCTGGTTTATAGAATCCATATGATTGATATCGATAATTGTTCTTCGCTATCAAGCTAATTTATATCATTTTGAGATAGTTGTCAACTAATAAGAGATCAAGATAATGCTCGTTTTAACACAGATACTGATAACGAATTGTTGTACAAAACAGAAAATAATCCAGAAATATATCAGCATACAAAGTGATGTGATAATATGCATTATAGACAATATAACATTAATACCATTATAAACAACTCAGGATGATAAAATACTTTCAAACTATATTGATATCATATCTGAAGTTATATAAGTGTTCACACTTACAATGTGAAATAACTACCATTTTTTTGTAAATATTTGTCCCTTTTCATCTTAATAAAAATCCCATTTATACTAATACTAAATTTTCTAATAAAATAAGAAATTTTAAGTTTGAACTGTCACAATAGAAACTTAAATGTCTTCAATTAAGAAGTTCGATATTTATCACGATATAACCTAATCTAACACATGGTAGAATAATTAATGAATCATTATTTCCAACCAGAACAATCGACAAGTGTTAAGTCACAATAGAAGAGATATTTGTACACCTTGAATAACGATCATAAATATTTCACGGATAAATTCCGTCTTATATCAATGTGCATTTCAATGTCTCATCCACTCAGTTTTACATTTATATTTCAGTTTGAGTAAAAGACATTCCAAATTTTATTTAACAGACTGATATGGATAAATTCGAAGAGGATTACTACAAGCTTGCATTTGGAATAGGAGTACCTCATTTCGAGCAATCACAGTTAACAATTGCTTTTCAAATGTTGGTCGATTTAAGCAATGTGAGTTTTGTTATAAATAAATTTGTTGATATTGAAAGCACGGACTGACCTTAGCCAAACAACCATTGAAAGCCTGTAAGCACTAAATTGGCGTCTCCTCCTAATATGGGACTCCTCAGCAGTGCACATCCACATTCGAATATCGAACTCAGGACCATAGGGCTTACGCACGGGTGCTTTACACCTTGCGGCATCTGACGGTGTCAATGCCTAACTTTACTAAATCCATGATCTTGGGAAACCGTCCATCCACCGCTGAGGTGGATAACTGACTTACATTAAGCACATATTGAACACTACTGGCCACGTCTTGTCACTAGATCCCCAAGAGTTACGACTTGAAGCTAGTCACTAGTGGACATATAGTTCCACACCATGTTAAAACGGCCGCTCAGTGCTTACAAGTTTTCAATAGTAGTCTAGCTAAGATCAGTTTTTGACTTCAACAGCTTCGCGCCAGGCGCTTAACCAACTGGACCACTGAGCCGGCACCCAACGGTCTAGTTGGTTAAGCACCTGGCGCGAAACTGATAGGTCTTGGGTTTGAGTCCCGCGGGGCGGGACTGTGGATGTGCACTGCTGAGGAGCCCCACAATAGGACGAAACGGTCGTCCAGTGCCTCCAGGTTGTCCATGATGGTCCAGCCTCAACTTACTCATGATTTCAACTGTTGAAATATATAATGTGTTCTATGAGATAAATTCAATGAATTTTTCTATTGTGTATGCAAAAGATAATCCAGTCACCATAAAACATCTGAACTTTTCGTGGTTTTAATTATCACAATAGATTATTAAAGTTCTATCACTGTAAGAGATTATGTCACACAGTTAATACTCATTATTGATTCATTGAAATAAAGAAGTAATTTATTTCATTACTGATTGTTGAGAAGTGGTTAACTAGAATGTTTTGGATTTAATAATAAAATTGTTCATTGATCTTTAATGCTTCACTGGTTTACTAATTAGTGAATATGAGGAGCTAAGAAATTACTATGAACACTGAGAAAGTTTTAAAAGACAAAGTTTTTATGCGGTTTTACTTGAGTTTCAATTCCTCATTACTTATTTTCACAAATCAGATCTGCTGTAACTAGATGAAACACAAAAATGTAGTTAGAGTTTGTTATGAAATATTTTCATAATAAGAGATAAACTAACACACAAAGAACCACTCAGTATGAGCATGTAATTACATCACATGAAATATTATATATATTTATACCAAAGAAGAATGTTTCATTAAATTTACCGAAAAATAACTAAATAACAGAGTGATTTAAGTTGTTATTCCTTAAATATCAAAAGAAGTAACGAAAATAGTCATCGTTACTTCAACACACAATCTAGGTATATATATATATATATATATATATATATATATATATATATATATATATATATATATATATATATATATAAGTACGAAGATGAGTGTGAAGGCGTGTTACGAAGAATTTCTATAATATTTTAATATTTCAATCATTATAAAAAAATTCATCCATATGCTTTTTTATGAAAAAGTAGCACGTTTTCATGACTTCTTTCATCTTTCCCCTACTCCAATATGTAGTTAAAATTAAGGAATTACCCATGACTTTGATAAATGCAATTTCTTTATGATGAATTTTCAGGAGATATCAATGACACAAGGACTTCATGTGAGCGAATTCAATGAAATTATTTCAATGAAAGAACTGAAATCCATTTGTCCTCAGGTAAATTTTATTTCAAAACTTTCCTGAATAATATCATTAATATCATAATACAGTTCAAGTGAGGTTGACAATTACCCACATGTGTTATGAGATAGATACTTATTTTCATTGACTACATCATAAACTGATCATATCTAGAAATCCTTAACATGGTGAACAGCTCTTTTAACTGAGAATCGGCCACAGCAATACACGTCTACGGCACCTTGACGGTAAAATGCAGATCTCACTGCAAGTATTTATTCTTTAACCTAATGAACCACTAAATGTGGATTGAACAGATATCCTATACTATAAGGAAACAGCTTTTCAGAACCACATGATTTTTCGATTGTTATATAACTGAAATTATTTGGAAATGTAATCTACGAAATCTAACAGTTCCCACAAACTTCTTATATGGTGAAACGTTGTTTATTTCCAAAACATCCAAATAATGAGTAGAGATCATAAACAGAAATTCACTTGCATCATACTTATTCGTCAAAACTCTTTTAATTCGAGTCACTTTGGAATCATTGTTACATTTCCTTTCGTAATTATATATATGCCACCTTCATTTTATTTTAATTTACATGTATAGATCGATTGGAGTTATTTATTGAAAGAATTACTGAAACAAACTGGATATACAAAATCCAAGCAGCTATCAATCATTGTAGAAGGACGATATCAGCTAAAACATCGTTGTGAATTATATGGTGATGTAATGAAAACAAAAAATGATAAAAGGTGAAACGTACTTCATTTTCTTAATGACTAACAACAAATATAACAGTTTAACTTTAAGTATATTGAAAAGGAATACCAGCATAATCCTGGGTAACTATGTCTGTATCATCATGTGAAAACTGCTTATTCTAAGCTGAATTTTTATATTTAAACTAAGCGCATTAAAAGCATTGAAGTTTTGTCATCAAATACTATGTTGTTAGGTTTATCATAGGAAGAAGCCCATTGACATCTATATAAGGCTTATTGCCATTTATAATCAACGGGTTTCCGTTTACATCGCAGTGACACGTTGATATGATACATGTAGTGAATATTATGTACTAAAAACTGTTTATCAGTCATTCTGAATACCCTCAATGTACATCTTTTAACTAAGCAGAGCACAAAACTTTCCAAAATTTATTTAAGTAAACAAACTGGCCACTGTTTGTTTTATTTGAGTAGAGCTAATAAAAGGAGTTGTTAATTTCACATTAGATTATCATTAGGAAGAACGTCAACGATCAACTTGTGTGCTTTTTCAGTCGATCCTGAGAACCTGGATAGCTTGGTTAAGTCGGCAATATCATGTTGGACAACTTCTTCAGAGACTGGGAATAATAATTTCAGTCTTCACTACACAATGTATGTGATAACGGAGATTTATGTAAACAAAGACTATGAAACAGATAATATCCGGCTACACTTCGTATCCAGTGTTCAGGGACTTGTCACAACCCGAAAATAACACACGTTTACTCTGCTAACGAACATCTACCGAATACAACACTGTTTCGATACATGTTCTGTGGTAGGTTTCCAATATCTAATAAAAGGATTTTACAAAAATGTTGAAACTCAAATTATTCAATCTATATTTCCTCATTGGTATCGTACATGACAAATGTCATTTGACTATTTCATCTGTACTTAGTTATTGATAAGGATCTATAAAGCTGAATTATGAGCCGTATTTTATTTGCTGCTCTTACTAAATTATTTGGGTAAAATCTAGTAGGTTTATCTATAATCTCACACTTCATACGCTTGTTTGGCACAAAAATGTTGTAGATAACCGGCTCCACGCTCTAAAACTACAATGTAGACTTATTGATACTGATCGGTGTAAAATTACAGGGGGGCGCTTCTTATTATCTATTCACAATACTAGTTACATTAAAGCTTTTCTTTAACTTGACTTCTTTTTTTACAGTGCATTTCGTACAATCATTATTATGGATTTTTTGATTAATCAATTGTTGCAATCCATGAACCTCAGTCCCACTGGAACAGACAATAATTCGTATTCATGTTAGTATAAAATTGATGCATTAATTTGGTTAGCTCTGACATTCAATTAACAAACTATTCGGTTTGTATTAAACGACTAAAATTTATATGATCCGGTGGTTGCCTGAATATACACAAATTCAAATGTATTTTAAGTGGTGTGCCAAATGCTTGACTATATTTTCCGAATACATATACGGTATTCAAAATCATGATTTGATGCAAGCGAAGTTTCTGACGGTAAAAATGGTAGACCTATTTAGGATGGTGGCTGTAGTTGTGTAGCATTACCATGTGGAGAATAAGTCCATTTTTAAAGATTTATTTTTCGACAATTAATGTATAATTTTTAAATAAGATATACATCTCGAACATTTAATGTATTTCCATACTAAAGTTAATTCATTAAGTAATGATCAACTCTCAGACAACATTAACTCTCAAGTAATTATCACACACGTTATTCTAAATTTTATTTTATGGTAACATATTGCCTAAAACGTACTATAATATATAAAGATATTTTTGTACATGTAAAGATATTTCCAACGGAAATTCATAAGGATCGGATACAAGACCAGATTATTGATGAATATTTAATGTTAGAAGGGGTTTTATGGAGAATTTGGTAATTTCAATCGTCGAAATCATGAGTCAATTGAGACTAGACCACCAGGGAAAACCTGGAAGCACTGTATGGATTTTTCGTCCTAGTACGAGACTCCTCAGCTGTGCGTATGCACGATCCCGCCTCCCGCGAGATTCGAACACAGGACCTATCAGATATTGACACCGTTGAATGCCGGCTCAGTGGTCTAATGATTAAGTGCACCAGCGCGAGACTTATAGGTCCTGGGTTCGAATCTCTCAGGGGGCAGGCTCGTGGATGCACACAGCTGAGTCCCATACTGGGACGAAACGGCCGTCCAGTGCTTCCAGGTTTTCCATGGTGGTCTAGCTTCATTTGACTCATTATTTCAACTATCGGAACTTTTAATGATTATGAATGAAATAATTAACATAGGGATTTCGAATCAGATTTTAACCGCATATGACTTCATAAATATTACCGTAATAACAAGAGCGGTTTATGTAGATCAGCACTGAACAAATTTTCGATGATCATTTCAAATGACGTTTTAATATGCCAAGTGTTGATGCGTTCTATTTGTAGAAAACCACAAATGACAGTCGAATTCTTATTTTGGAACACATAGTTTTATCATATGAATAAAGTTAACGTCAAACACTTGATAATCACTGACTGCTAGCATCAATAAATATACTAATAACCAGTATAAAAATGTTATTCATCAATAGAAACCACATAAATAAACAAGGCAATAGTTACTAGTCGAAACAAAACTTCCTATTGTATTCTGCCAGCATAATTCAACAGTAGACATATTCATATATAAACAAATCCAGTATACTCTGCAAATCCCATCAGCGTAATCCATTATCCCTGAAACAATGCAGATTTATCAATCATTGCCATTTTCAGTCATATTGATGGAAGTGGAATGACTTGAAATAGTAATTATCTAAAGTATACTTTGAAGCACGTCCTGATATTCAAAGCAATGTAGTGGACGAAAACAGATTATTGATTAAACATTATTTTAAATATATTCTTTCTGCAATTAGTGTTGAAGCAAGTATACGATGATTGAGTATACAAGTAGTCATGAACACTAGATCTGTAAACACTGATTTGAACGATAGTGTCATTTGTTTCATGGGGAATATCAAGATCAACTTTGTATTTGTTGACACACTCACTGATTCCGTTCCGTCCTTTTATAAATTCATTTGATCCTCTCACAACATAACATTATTTCACTTTATTTTAAATAGCTTCACAGCCACATTTTGATGAGCAATGTATAAATCGGTTGAAGGATGCATTTCCATGGACGCTTGAAAGACATTATATCCGTTCGCATGTAAACGAAACACACAAAACAGAGGTTGGTTCATGTCATATTTCACTTATCTACAATGTTTGAACGGTAGACACGCTTAGCGATAATATGAAATCGTTACATGATGAAATGAGACAATGCAAATAGATTTCTAGTAACAACTAATTCACTGATTGAAGAATTCCTTATATATACAAGGATCTACAACTTGATTATCGGATTCGAACGAAACCTATCCATTTTAAGTGGATTACACACCTGAGTAAAATGAAAATATCATAGATTAATCTGTTGGGAAATTCGAGTAACGTACATAGAAGATGATTTCAATTGATCTTTATATCATTTTTCTGGATACAGTCTGTGAACTTCATAGATCCCATTAAAGCACTTCTGGTAACCTCAATCCATCCACCAATTCTATCAGCTTTTATTGAACGACTGACAATACAAATCAAAACACTTTATTTCAATTAGGTATAGACGAGTTATATTGAACAGCATTCTATTTCAGAGTAAATTAATCCTGAGTGATAAGCAATTTGCTGCTCATTTCTCGTCAGATCATTATAGATTGTATGTTTGTAATGTGCATCTAACTGACAATTTTACAAAATCATGGCATTTATCACATTGTTACAGTCGGCTTTGCGTTTTAATTCCGAATTTCCCGTTTATTCTAGAAATCATCATCCATCATGATACATGTGATCATGAAAAACGGGTGTATATTATAGTTTGTTTTCTAGTCTGTAAACCAGAATGCAGTTATTGATGATGGTTTGTGGTATAGTTTACTTACCATAATGAAAAATCGTTCATTTTTTAACAATGGACAGTTGTACACATAGTGTTTTATTTCATGATAGGCTAGTAGAAACACTACAGTGAACAAACATCTTTGTATTAGAGTGATGGTAAATGAAGTCGGATATAAGATATATTTAGAAAATTACTCTTAATTTATTATCTTGGATGAGCTTGTAATCGATGACAGAGTTTAACTGTCCACAAATGGATAAATGGAACACAATATGGTGATTACCATTTCAACACTATGGATGACGTCATCCAAGTTCGTTCTACTGCTATTAATATGTGAACACAAATGTATGAACATCCAATCATTTTACTTATCCGAATGATGAAACACCATGATTACTCATCTTGGTATAAGTAATCAGTGTCTCCAGAGATAGAAACCCACTTAACTATTGAAAAAATCTTGTTTTTCATTCTAAACATCAATTATATTAAAAGAAATATTTGTAGACATCATTGTAGTAAAATTTGAAATGTTGGTAACTTTTGTTAAGAATTATGTTTTGAGATTCTTTGAGAGAATAATCGAAATTTACATAAATTTACTGGAATATTGACAGAAACCCCTATATACCCAACAGTCGACCATTCATATTCGAAGGTTAAAATTATTTAAATCAAGAGAATACTACACTTTTTGACTTAAATTACATAAACATAAACAAATATCTCCGAATAGCACAATTTAGAGCACACCTCACAAAAAATGATATTCAACATCTTAAAATAATAAGCGTTCAGCACAAACTGTATTTGTGTTAAATAAAATTGTCTTTGGTTACTTTTCATACTGACAAACATTATGATGCGAAAATTAGGGTTACTTTGATGTTAGTTCATGAGAATTTCCAAAACACTTTCATACTTTCGACATCACCTACAAACCTGTCCCTCAACAGTTGTGAAATTATTCTTTCGATTTCGGATATACGTTCCTACATGAATTACATCACATGATCAACATCGTTGAAATATCGACCTGGTTTCGGTCAGACAGTCAACTCAAACCACTTTTCTCGAAACAACCACAGCTTCGGTGAAAATCTGCTGATTGTTTTTCAGATAATCTTCAGAATCCCTGCGAATTGTGATCACTCGTGTGGTCTCTTTTGAGATCTAGGAGTTACACTGTGCAATAATCATTTGAACAATATGGGATGAGACTTTATTATTATAAACACTACATTATATTGCCAAGATTAAATGTAACATAGTACAACTTAGTAAGAGTAGGCAACTATCTATGATGTTAGTTAAACGTACCTAGCCACTCAAAATGTTTTTATCACCTGTATACCATGTTTCTCATCAAATCCATATAAAACACAGATTCTAATATCCATCCAAATGATATTGTTAAGCTACTCTGCTAGACTGTATATTGGTACACAATTTAAATATCAAAAACATATTCTTGATGAACAGAGAACAATGGTCGATTTGAAAAACCAAAATCCATCATACTGTAGTGGCATAGCTTTGTTAATCAATCACTCGCGTAACCGTTATTATATAAATATCAACGTTGTTTGAAATCAGAAGGCAATGAGAAGAGGCAATTACAGTTTATTAGCAGATAGCGCAGATCACAATGCTATAAGTATATTAAACGAATTTGAAACAGAGAAGCGAATATGTTTATGCGAGCAAATACAGAGGCAAATTTATAGTCAAATCGAATAAGTGCACAGCACGACAAAGTAAGGACTAATAATAGGATTTGAGTACATGCATACATGGGGAGGAGGATGAATCATCGAGTGACATTTAAGATATTCACTCTTTAGCTAGAGTCTGTCATGTGATCTAGGGATCATAACGGTACAAAGAGATATGCAAATTGTTACTATTCAAATAACATTGTTTGTCAAGTAAGTCAATAAAAGAGCATAACTAAAATTAACCATAATCGAAATTGGTTGTAGGACAGTTGCTATAGGACAACCACTTGCCATGAACTCATTACTAAGTTGCTTGGCTCACGCCTAAGATATGCTCATGTTTGAATCTCACAACTTGTCTCTTTTACCTTTGTAATTAGTTCGTAGTGATTTTCAAACATGTCACAAACTTTTTCATTGTGGTTAATATTATCGGAATTACAGGTGATCAATATGTTTAACGAAATTAAACTCACTGTAATTGACTCAATATCAAAACTCAACTGGTTGGGTGAGACAGAAAAGCCATTTTTGCAAGACAAGGTTTCAAAACTAAGCATATTTGCCTTGTACTCCAATCAAAATGCTTCTCAACAAAAAGAAAATCTCTCAACAGTATTCCAAGTAAGTTAACTACACATATTTCACTATTGAAAAATAAATTATTTTACATGTCCATTTGATACAACTAATGATTATTTTATTGAAAACTGGTTATATTATACATCACTGTATATAATAATAAGCTAATTCTACACAAAATAACTCCGGTTATCACCGAGGAGACATGTGAAACTTACAAGACACCGTTATTCCTAGAACTCATCATTGATAACACTTATAGTAATAAAACCATATTTCACATTTCCAAACAACATTGGTTTGCCTCAATTATTACGTGGTAGAGAAACTTCAAGTCACTGGTCTTTATTCTGCAGTTCGGAAACTCAGAGGTTAAACCCTAACAGGTTCAAATATATCAGTCAATTTATTGACCAATCTACTGGTCATCAAAAACTACACATCAATCTCACCATAATTCAACTACTTGGATGCATGTACAAAATCATTTACAAACTCGTCACACTACAAGGTTGTGTGTATATCATTAAGTGATGAAATATATAATCACACGAGGACTATTCGCACAATTTTATGCGTTAGTCAAATCATTTCGGCAACTCGTCGTTACAAATCGAGGAAAGTCAATTTACGTGACAGTGATTGGTTTGACAATGAAAATTCGAAATGTTGCTTCAATGACACTGCATTTTCCCAAAACCATTGATTCAAAAATACTTACTCAATAAACTGGAAAACAGAATGTATAGAACGTGCTTTAAACATCTTTTAAATGATCTCTGTCAATGTTTTTTTCACACAAATAATATTTAGTACCCTATTCGAGAGGACAATTATTACACAAATGAATTCTACATCCGTAGAGCGAAATATATTGACACTTTGAAAACTCAATTACACAAATATAACCCGTAAGTTGTCATGATATCTCTGATATAAAAACAATACAAGTTATCACAAATTGTTAATTTTATTATTTAACTGCAAAGATTTGAATATTCTTTAATCAAAATTATCTTATGGATTGATGCCTTCTACTGAATAGAACCCACATTACCATGAACTCAAATTGATTTCGTGGACTGATTTAATGTGTGTTTGGTTCGTGTTTGGACATCTTCCCTCTAAATCTTGTAACGAATATGCTAATTAAAATCTTAGAAAACAGAAGGATGTACAAATCATTTTCCTTAAGTAAACTAACTGTGCCTTCATTACATTATTCAAGGTGGTAATGAAGTAAGAAGATTTCATTCATTTTATAACCCAAACGACAAATGCTAATTGTCCATTATAACTATTATTATTACAACTACTATTATATCACATAGCATCTTTATATTTTCGTCGTTAGGAGATTTGACACTACTTACTAATGTGAACCCAAATAACCAACTAAAATCTATTTAAAATAGTCACTAATGATCTAAGTCTTTCAAATGACAATCCGTCTACTCCTCTCACTTTTACTTATTATTTTTCAAATAAGTATTTTTTCGTGATTTCAGATGGTTTATTTAAACCAGGTCAGTAATTTAATGATATTCCATCTGTATATCAGAATCTATATTACCATCAGATAACAAAATAACTAAACCATTTTCTATTATTTACACCTATTGTTTGAACTGACATCATTTATTCAGCATGATTGTTGTATGAATGTAAACCATTTCACTTAACAATTTGTTAAATGATTTCAAAGTGCATATGTGTCAAAACTGAAACCTGTATGTTTTCGTGATCACGTAAATGAAACAAAATCTACCCAAAAATTTGTTAACCCGGTGATTATTTGTTCCCATTCCCTATACTACTGTTACAACTCTCCTACAATCAATTTTTTTGATGTATATTGACGAATAGTCATAGAAACTCAGAGTTGTTTATAAAATAAAATGAAACTTTTTAATGCTGAAACGATTAATATGCAGTGTCAACTTCAACATGTCCCCTGTATCAAATGAAATTGCAAGGTTAATGACTAAAATGAAAATATATAATCTATGTTGAGCACAATAATAATGTGATACATATAGCCGAACAGTATTGTTTTCATTTGGATCTTCATCAAACTTCAATTTAATATACATGGATGTATGAGTTAATAAAAACATTAAACTAATCAAAGCAATTTATGAGTCAATAGTCATAATGAAATAGATTGTACAATTACACATTAGAAAGTACTGATCAATAAGAAGAATAAAGGTGTACTAGTAGTGATAAAAAAAGAAATGACAAAAGTTCTAGTCAGTAGTTAGACAATGAAAATAGGTCAAGCTTAGATAAATGGACTTTAAAATTGCAATCAACAAACAATTAAAATTGTGTAGTAGAGAGTGTGTAATTATATACATAGTGAAGAAAATAGACAGAAGGAGGTGAAAAGCGGTAAACGGATATACGATGGAAAAAAATCAATGAACTCGTATGTTTAGTGATAACAGGCCAATGATGTGACAGTGGTGTCACTAAATACTTCTGAACGCTTATAATAGTATTATACGTTCGGATCCCTGAAGCTTTTGTATTTGTAGGAGACGGAATGGAAGCCCATTAGAAAATAATGAAGGTTCACGATAGATCACTGAAATCGATTAAGATTTATCTACCACGTGACTACTGCGAAGACAGAGCTGTCCATTATCTTCGTCTAGCATTTTCCAGACCAAGCTAAGGTATGTTCACTCATATATCGGTTGCCTGATTGTACGCCGAATATAGCAGAAACAGCTGAATTTTTAGATTCACATCCTCTGTTTGATAAGATAATATATTTACGCATTAGATCCAGATATTTAGTGTTAGATATGAATTCAGTAAGAAATAACAAGGTGGGTTCAATGCTTTGAAGGTAAATGATTATTTTTAAATTGGTGGCAGTAACAATACGAAAAATTATGAACAGAAATCACAATGACAATATTTCACTTGACGAAGTTCAGACCAGACCATGGAGTAAAACGTTGGATTTATTGTAACTCCAGTCTCGGAGTGTATTACAAATATAATTTTCTTTCAGAAATATTTCACTTAAGTTATGAAAATAGAGTGATTATTGTTGTTAATAGTTGTATTATTATTAGTGTTAGTAACAGCAGTTGTAGTAGTTATTGTTGTTGTTACCTATGAAGATGAACATGTAACTTGGTACCTAGAACTTTGATTATTTTTTTCTCAGCATCCATTCATGTCACTCAATAGAAACACAGGTAGTGTTAAACAGCGAAAATAAGTCATTCTAAAGTGATAGAACCATATTTACTTTTGAAGGCACATGGAAACTGAATGTAAACTAGATACTTTTCATATAAATAACTATTTTATAAGAGTATTGATAAATATTGCTCAATAATATCAAATGGTTCATTGAGTAGAAAATCTAATCTCAGGTAAAAACTACATTTTGTAGTTGACTATCAATACATTCAAAAACTCTGCAATAAAACTGTCACAGTTTTTATTATACGTTATTCATAATTAAACAGTTGTACTCTAATTCACTTGATATTGTTTTGTTTGAATCTTCCCATTGATGTTTTTGGACTGAAATTGATCAGTCTCTAGAACGGTACTGAGTTCGAGTCCCAGAGTGAACATCAACTCTGAGACGCAGGTACATCCAGCTGACGAGTCCCAAACAGGACGAAACGCGCGTCCTGGATTCCACTGCTAGCCACTATCCATCTTTGCTTATAGTTGTCCTCTAAGTTGAAAAATCTATCAAATGTTCAGTGAGAGATGACGACATAATTAATCAAGATTATTATTTTTATGTGAATAGATCTCCTTTAGAATTACCGATATTTACAACTCGCGCTTACTACAATATGAATGCAAACCGTGTTTATGTGAATGCTGGAGTGTTGCAACCTCCACTTTATTATGAAAATGGTAGTTTAGCTTCGAAATTTGGAGCACTTGGTTGGATTATAAGTCATGAGATTATGCACGGAATAGGTATCCAAGGTTTGTTCAATCAGTATACTAAATTTTCAGTTTCTTAAAAGTAATATTAATTAACTTGTATAAAACTATTACTTTCGGTATAATACTGTTAATAAAACCACAATATCATTTAATTGTCTCATGAATTCATAGAGAAATTTACTATTTGACTAATTATTAACATGTATTGATCAGAATCATTTATTTTGCATATCAACAAAATGTCAACATCCTGAGTTTGACGATCTCAGTTTATTGTTCATTTGGTGAAACTAACCTTATGGACAAACATCACGTAATATCTGAATAATATTTTGTCATCGTGTACAATCTCCACATGTCAGTATTAAGCGTTTTACGATTACGGAATCACAAAATACCACCTGTGTCCTGTATCGATACATTCTCGAAATCAGCACATCACTGAAAGGAAGGCGATCTCACGACAATTCACTATAATATGAATAGAAAGAATCCATTAATCAATCCTCACAATATTTACAAATTCAAATATAATTACAGGTGGAAGTTCCAGTTTAGTTCAGTAATGTATAAATCACCTTGCTTGTGATACCATGCAGCGATTTGTAGATTGGCTTCAACTAGTCTAGTTGTGCTTCGAACGAAATATTAAATCTTTTCAGCTTGACTATCAAATACTTGACCACATCCATGTCAGCTTAGTTCACACTCATATCGATTACTTGTAACAACGATCGAAAGGCTCATTTGTGTCATCGATCCACGTCTCACGAGAGTACACTCACTATCAATTGAAGGTATATTTAGTTAGTGGAAACTTTTATTAGAAATCGGTGAATTATTTGATTCATAATTTGGTTTTTATTAGTTTCCATACTTTTAATATTTCGAACTTCACAAAATCATTTTATTCTATAAATCACCGACTAATTGATACTGAGTATTACTCTGTTACCATACACTGAATATCAGACTCGTTTTCGAATACAACATTAGACTGCTGTTGTCCTGATAGTAATTTCATTTTAATATTGGTTGTTTGAATCTTCTCATTGATGTTTAGGACTGCAATGTATTGGTTTCTTATTGGCATATGTGCATTTTGTGAGGATCGGCTTGATATTGTCTTAGGTCGTAAGCATTATAAGTAGAGCTAGGATGTAGGTTCATCTAACTGACGAGTCCCAAATAGAACGAAACGAGTATTCTGGATTCCACCATCCATCTTTTATAGTGACTGTTGTATTAGTTTCTGACAAACTCATGGTTTTAGTCTTTCATTCCGATCGATGAAAAACTGGTGATTATCAAACAAATATGCACTGATTTCTGTTTACCCTTCCTTCTACTATTTATTTGTCAACTGTTTACTGAATATGGAAACTAATTATGTTAAAAATGATATGTTAAAAATAATTATCATTTTAATCAGTAATAATCCGTTAATTTTGTTGAATTTCAAGGTGTACTGTTTGATTCAGCTGGTACTAGTCTAACTGGTTTGACTGGTCTTATGTTATCTTCTGTGATAGAAACTAAAACTTCATGTATTATTGATCAATATAGACTTTATGAATTTACCGATTACAAAGTAAGTTTATTAAATTATAGGTATTAACATACGAAAGTATACCTATATTTTTGTGCAGTCATTGAGCACTTAGAAGTTCGATAATTTAGTATAAAAAGAAAAACACAACAACCTTCATGTGAATTGTATTTAACTTAAAACATTTTGAGATTGTCAAGGAATATACATTTGGTCGGCATTACACAAAACACCAGTTTACTTATTTTGTTAAACTCACGCCAACCCATTCCAAGTCTAGTTGACTTTTTTAATTTTTATATATAAATGTTCTTAACAAGCATATTATGTGTGACCAGATTGTTCGTAATGTACATTGAAAGCCTTGTTTTCTTTTAGTTATTTTGCCTAGCTACCATTATACCCCATAATGGTTTTTGAAAACAATCCGATATCATCTACTCTAACTCTGAATTTCATATAACCCTTATGAATTTACATTGGAACATTCATCTAATAGCAAATCATTAGGTAGATTTAATAATCTTAAAATTTCAATACATTTTATGATGAAAGGGATAACGTATGTAATAACTGATTACAAGTTCCTTACAAAGTGATTTATAATGTCTTAATTATGTCCGAGATGATCGACTATTATAGACAATGCTCCATGAAGTTACATGGAGCATTTCAATGTAAAGTCAGAATTATACAAAATGCTTAAATTCAATGTTCACAACATCACATAATACGTTTTTGAATTACTTAATTGATCTAGGCCCTTCAAACCGATACACGAGATGAAATTTTAGCCGATATTGGAGGTTTAAAAGCGTCTTACTATGTAAGTACATTTATGCAACTTATAGGAAATGTATATTAACATGAAACCTTTGAAGTAAAATACCAAACATTTGGATTACTTAAATAGAAACACATAAAACTACAGTACATAGTTTGTCAGTTGAAAAATTAATGCATAAAATTCTGTTTAGTCAGTAAAATATCATAAACGGATTAACATTAAATCGAGGATAAAAAGTATCCTCAATTATTCCTCTGAATAAATCATAAACTTTATGAGGTAGACATATTGATTCATAATGTAATTCAATAGCCCTTTTGGCTTTTTGTGAGGCCGGGTGATGATTATTCAGATCTACCAGAAGTACTACCACCCTCAAGATTACAGGAACATTTCGTCGACTTGTAGAAAATAGAACGGTCAAACAGGGTTTCCTGTATTCTAACTATAACACTTTACATCATAACATAGGGCATCCGACATTGAGTCACTTAGACTAGTAGCCACATAGCAACTTGATCGATAGAATTCGATCAGCAGTAAGATAAAAATTAAATACTTGACATTAATCACTATCCAGTGATCAAGCAATTGTGAGAAAACACTATTAAGCACATTAGCTATGTTGTAACGATGAGTTCGGTTAAGCGATTCTTCTGATTTCAGAAGACTTTTAGATGCCTAAAACCGGTTGCTGAGACAGAACGAACAACTGAGTTAGACATGGCATAACTATTTATTGAAGAACAATAATTGGCGACCAACTCCAAATAAATATTGTACAACTAGTTAAGTGAATAATAACACCAAACGTCGAGTCAGATAAAAATTCACAACATCAAATTGTCGATATATTGATTGCACTTTTATATTTGTTTCAGCGCTTTAAAAAATTGGTCACCTCTTAATCAGACTAAAGTTACAGAGATTGAACAAACAGATTTTAAAAGGATATGGCTCAACTATATCAGTGCAAAAACTCCATTAACAATAGGTGTTTCGAATGACTGGATTTTGAGTTAGGTCGTCTGCTATTTGAAGTCAGATGTTCCTTTTCTACAGTCAGCGGTTGTTATTCTGAATACAAAAAACAATAGACAAAAACTGACTTTACAATCTTTTATACGGCTAATGATATTGTATTGTCTATCAAGTTTGTAAAGTTCACTGTTATTTTGAAGTGTGAAGATCAATCGTATGATAAAACAAAAAAGAAGTTTTATCTATGTTTCAAAATAATTCATCATTTAGAAAAATGGATTGGATTATATCATAGAGTATGTGAATTAGTTACTATTTAGAGTGAATATTCAATATCTATTCATTGAGTAGAATAGTAGACAACTCAGACCATGAACCTGTCCATTATATAAATATATGTCGAAACCTTTCCCTAAATTCTCATTCAACATCGACAAACAATGTGAAACAATCTGTGTATGTGTTTTGATTGTTGATAGTAAAAAAAACTAAGCTATCAATAATCTTTGAGTTAAGTATTCTCCATTTAAACCATGTATACATTTATAAAATATTCCATTATAACAATAACGCAACAATATTTTAGAAAGACATTAACTCATTTATAATAATCGTTATATTATATAAATTTATTTACATTTCTTAGACGTACAGGCGTTTATATGAGAAGTATTCGAATAGTGTTAATCAAAATTATAATCTCTCTCTTATATCTGATCAGTTGTTCTTTCTCTCATTTGCACAAGCAAGTCACAGTTTTTCTTTCATGTTATAAATCACTACGTTTTATCAAAATGTCTAGAGATATTTACTCTTATATTATACTATTTGTTGTATTTGGAATTTAGTACATATTAGTAATATACATAAGTAATAACGAAATTCCATAGAAAGTTAAGTTACTTATAAGGAACCAGTGCTCATCGTATATTTCGTTCATTTATAATTATTCTGTTACTAAATTTTTGCCTGGAGATTTAATTCACCAACATATTTCAAAGCTGGCATTATTATTTTAGTACACATACACAGTAAACAATAAAAACAGTTTCTTTAGTGTAAATGAAGATGTACGATGGCTAGCAGTGGAATGCAGGAAGTGCGATTCAACCTATTTAGGACTCTTCAGCTGGATGTACCTGTGCCCCATAGTTGATGTTCACTCTGGGACCAATCGCCATAAATACCTTTACGTTTTGTACTTAGCTACTGATAGCTTCTTCAATGCTTATAAATATTTTTACACATTGACTCAAACTACCAAACTCTTTTCCAATTTATTTTATTTACAATCTATCAGATGGGATATAAACCCCATAACAAAATTATTAGGCCTAGGAGACTTATCAATTCACTCTATTTTCAATAAAGCGTCAAAATCAAACGCATTTGTGGATCATTCACTTGCACATGAATTAACATGAAATTCATTTTGAAATTTAGTAGAAGAAAATTCCAACTTGGCAAAATTTCCATCCAGTCTAGTGAAATCAATTAAACAATAGAAACTAACAAATCAATCAAGTTGAAAATGTAGACCAATAAATAAATTGGTAAAGCGACAATTACCAACTAACTCAAATATATTCATTTGAAAACTTCTTGAATTTGATCAAATATCTTAAATATTTATATCATTTTTATACGTGTCCAAACCCATAAGCAATATGGCTATGTAGGGCTGAAGGTCTAATATGAGGCTGGAAGTTCGCCATTGGTATTGTGGATGGTTCTGCATTGTATTCGCAAGTTTTGCTGACTGTTCATGCACAAAAATGGTTTGCTGGTTAACCGATTTCATTCATACTGGTGGTTGGCTTTCAGCTTTCTCAAGGGCCATTGTCATTGTGACATTGTAAGGCATGTCGCCATTGCTAACATTAATGAGTTTGACTGTGGTTTATGTGGAATAGGTCGACCTCGGCATGTTCGTGCTGTGCATAATTGGTTCACGCGATCATTGATCGGAATAACTACACAGGTGATGTGAATGTGTATATGAATGGTGTGAATGGTTCACAAGGGTGCTTGGAACCTGTGTGGTTGCGCCACAGGATTGAGCTGTACTATTCAGATTGTAGCGTTGAAGCCTATACGGTGTCTGGTTCTCCTGAAAAACAATGTAAAATTACCCTGGTCCGCAAGGGTAGATTATATAACTATGAAATATGTATGCCAAAAGTATGATAGGAATGGTGTTCGCTTAAAGTTAACTGTATGATTTTGGGTGCTTGTTGAAATTATAATTAGCAATTTATTAAATATCTCTTTTTAATTACTTTTCAAGTCTCTTTGTGGACATCATAGTGGAACTTCTCTTTTAATACATTCAATAGTTGTTCCACATGTAATAGAAAGATACAGGTGAGCATTGACAGAAATTGAAATTGCATATGAAATGAGTAAATGTTTCATTTATATTATCGTAAAAATGACTAATTAAATGTGTGTAGCAATTATATTTTGATGACATACATAGCACAATACGTTCAGTGAATTCTAAGAAACTAGTACCCAACGTTGCCATTTTTGAAAGAAAACTATTTATTTCGAATAATGCAGTATATAACGAAGGTTCACAGATATATAGCATTGGATTTTCTATATGAAATCAACCTCATTTTCTTTGAATGCTGTACTTATTTTACTAGGCCCACGATACCAATGGCTATAAAACTCATGTAGTAATGAATTCCGATGGTGTACAACCCCCCTAATTTACCTTGAATCTTACTACCTTTTCAGAAACTTTTTCAGAAAACAGTAATTTCAGCTTGCAATCTTTATAGTATTTCTGTATTTAGTTTACGACTCTACAAACTAACGAGATAATTTTGTTTTTCCTACATTCCAAGAGTATTCGGGGCGTTGATTAATAGCAAAGAATTCGCACATGCATATGGATGTCCAGTTGGTTCACCAATGAATCCTGATACAAAATGCGATATATGGTGAAAGTAATGTGAATTACATATTCGCCGCCTTAAAGATGCTTTGGGACGCTAGAACGTTTGAGTAATTTTTTTGCATCTTCTTAAATAAAGCTTTAAAATACACAATTCTTATCTTCGGTTTTATTTTATGATTCTATTCAATATTCATGTTAAATAGCTATTTATCGGTCACAAAACTTCATATCAGCATAAGAACCTCAGAATTATGAAAATGTTGGATGAGAAAATCTTTGAATGAATTTAACTGATCTACATGTCCGCTCTATTTAACAACAACCGCACATTCTCGTAAAACAAGAATATATTGTTAGTGTTATGAGAACAATGAATGGTCACTTTTGGGATCCATTTATGGACCAATACTAAACGTATATTTTTATCGTACAATTGTTAAGTAACTAAACTATTCATATTCATGTCCCTCTTATTATCAGCTTCGTTTTCACCTATGAACTGTTATTATACGATTTGCCATTCTTGAGTTATACCCAGTCTATTAACTACTACCTCCTATATTCACAGCCACTTTGGGCTAGATCTCGTGCAAATGTTGTTTCGTATTTTATGGTACGATGTGGTCTGTTTGGTTGGTATATAAACCCAGTATGTTTGAAATAAATGATTCATATTTTAGAGGCTGAGATTGGTGTTCTGGACTTAACTGGCTGGGAAGCACGACCGATAAGAATTCTAGACTGCTCGTACTTGTTTTATGCGTCATTTGTCTAATCGATAATTCACTGTTCTCGAACTGGCGGTATCATTACGTTATACATTAGTAGGACACAAGTCACAGGTTATAACAGTCGTCATGACGGGTTTTCGAGACAGTAAAATTTTCTTAGTACGGATAGCGGACTGGCCGTAGTCAAAGAATAATTAAAACGAAGAAGTAGTGAATAGCTGTTTGGTCTTAGTAGGGAGTCCTGAGCAGTGAACATCCATTATCTCGCCAGATGTCAAACGTAGGGGCTTCAGTATCGTGCATCAATGCTCAACTTCTGGACAGCGAGATAAGCACTTAATTTCGACTATTTTGGGAGGTGGATAAATGAGGTCATAACATAGTGAATTTCCAAACTATAAAACATATGCTCACTAGTGACTGTCTTCGAGGGGTATATTCTGGAGTTCAGGTGAGAAGTAGTGACCAGTGGAGTTCAAGCAGGTCTGTTGTGAGATAGTAACTCACTAAAGACAATGTGGATGTGTCGCTCAATCTCATGGATTAGTTGAAGTTAGACATTAACACCGTTGGATGCCGGCCAGTTGAATGGTCTAGTGGTTAAGTGATTGCACGCGAAACCAGTAGGTCCTGCGTTCGAGTCTCGCAGGGGGCGAAGTCATGGACGCGCACTGCTGAGGAGTCCCACAATAGGACGAAACGGCCGTCCAGTGGTTCCATGTTTTCCTTGGTGGTCTGGCTTCGAGTGACTCATGATCTTAACCATTGAAATTACTATAATATTCACAAAACTCATCTGAAAATAAATTTGATATTGTATTAAAAAAGATAAAAAGTGACACAATATAGAAAACTTTGTCTATTTAGGAAAATACAACATGTATCTCATCACATTTGGTTACATCTTTTATATTCTGACATTAAATATACGTTGAGGATTGTTATCTACAGTATTACTCATACATGTGTATTCACAAGCTCAAAAGAATTGAATCTTTAGGTATCCAAAGTTTAATATTTCTGTTATCATATACACTATTTATGAATTTGCAAATGTAGAACCTGAAGAAGTTATCAAAAAATATTGTTCATTCTAATATTCTTTGTTCCTAACTACTCTACAGAAGTCTTTTAACTACCGTAAACGATCGAGGTATACAGTAGTTTGCTGTGATAAATACGACGCAAGTTAACAGGGTTTTGAAAAGTTTACAAAAATGTAATAAAATAAGAATAATCATACTTATAAAGCTTTCCAGTGAATTGCAATAATACAACACAATTTCCAAAAACTAAAAATAGATCGGTAAACAATGCATGAGCAAATAGAAACTAATCAGTTTAGAAATGTAAAATTAAATATTAAATGGTTGTATGTAAGCAAAATATTTTTTAAAATCACGTCTTATTATAAGAGATAATTTAAAGATGTGCATTAAATGTGATTACAGATAATTCACTATAACTTCTGCAGATCTAATTGTCATTTGTAAGTATTAATTGAAAACTATATTCTGCCAAAAATCCATCTTTAAAATTTTCTGTTTAACTGTACTATAATGATATGAACTCGAACCCAATATCTTCGATCTCCATTGGAGTTCAACCGTATCTGTTGAGAGATAGTAACTCACTGAAGACAATGGTGGATGGTGGCGCAATATAGCGGATTGGTTGAAGTTAGTGTTCGCGCGCGAGACTGAATGCCCCGGGTTCGAATCCCAACGGCGGGATCATGGGTGCGTACCACTGGGGAGTCCCATACTGGGAGGAAACGGCCATCCAGTGCTTTCAGGATTCTCATGGTGCTTTAGCCTTGATCGACACATGAATTCAAATATTAGAAAATGTCAAGACAAAATAAATTCATAATCTTATATTGATTTATGACTTTATTACGATCTATATCGAGAAATAGATGTGACCCTAACAAAACACAGTAATAATACTTCATATATATAAGATATTTGATATGACGGGATTAAAAAGGCACAATTGCATTTCTTCACTTATTATGCTTCCTGTTCAACATTACTGTCGTTTCCGATTCAACGTGATATAATTACTCAGTGTAGTATTTGTTTTGTTTCTGAGTGTGATAATTTATTCGGTATATCATTATTCTATTCTAATGTGATGTTTTATTCAAGATAAGTTATTCTTGTAGTAAATCAGCAAGAGCTATCCTCAGCAATGACATGCTGCATGTGATTGGTTATAACTCTGAGTATTTTTCATAGATGTGATTTTATCGCAATTATTAATCGAAATATTACACAATCCATATATATGTGGTTTATGCTACATATGTCTACAGATATAAGTACTATGTAAACCAATCAAAAGTTGAATGGCTGGCAGCAGAATGCTAAGAAGATCTAATTGTAAAAAAGGAAAGTAGAAAGGAATACTGAAATAAATGAACCATACAAAATGTAAGGGACAGTTGATGAAAGATATACAAATGCAGAATTTAATCTATGGTTTTCATATTTTAAGAAGATATTTTGCAGTTTTGTATGAATTAATAAATTGGTTGTTTTCACTTGAGTTTTCGTTGACTACATTTAAATTAGTGTATTTTCGACTAGCGTCGTCGTGTTTTTGAGCTAATAAATCTTCATTCGTACCAGTCTTGATGTTCTAATTTTACGTCGTGTGAATTAGTGTTTGAATGTTTTTTCATTTATAAGTAGTAAGCGAGCGGATATAACAATATTGAGGTCAAACAATTATTACTCTTTCAAAACAATACCTAGAGCAGGTGTCAATTATATCACGAAAAAATCTTAAATTTTGGGCTACGTTTATTTTGCTCGAGATACAACTAATAGCTGGCAAGAAGCTCTCTACTTAGATTCTACGATTAATATACATCATATACATAAATATACTCTGGAGAAGTGGCTTGCATCATGTCACGAAACGTCAGAAATATCATTTTTCAACAAAAATTTGTCTATTATTATAAACGCATTGTTTATTGTATAGTTTCCATTCTAGTTATGCAGCAGCCAGACATTATTCATTATAAATTCCAAAAGCATAGGCTCATAGTGAAATACGCTATTCAACTGGTAAAATATTGCGGATTAAAGCATCGTTACCTCTTACAAATTTATAATTCTTTAACAACCTGATTTGACAGCTACTTGTATTAGAAATTAGCTGCATTATATCAAATGTCGTTAACTATTTACAATCCTTGATGATCTTTAGTTGAACTGTTTGAAAGGAAACCTCTTACAATAATTAGTGAACATCTATACCTGCTAATCTAATTAATTTTGTGCAATTAGCAAAATCCATTTACTTATGCTTGCTTTAAATCGCCAATGCTGATCTCTGACTGATTCAACACAGTCCAATAATGTTTTCAAAGTTCCTTACACTCTTTATTCCTTTGATAAACATTATTTCATAAGATGTAAATTGATACAGATGGGTTGATTATCATAAATTTACAGGAATTGTATTGCAGAATTAATGTGGTAGGATTATTTTCTTAAATCATTATCCAGTTTAAATGAAATATCTAGGTCGGGAGGAACTTGTTTAACTCTAATTCCACATTCCTGGTGTACAAGATGAATGAAACATCCATAGATAACCTAAATGAAGGTACAAGAGACTCTTAATGAAATAATAGTTTGTCATGATAGAATAATATAACAGTTAGATTACTAGTTCAATTATCACACATTAAATTTTTCGATACATTTGATTTAGTTCAACATTTAAAAATCGAATTCCGCAAAATTTTGCCACACCTTTTTAAGGAAAGTGTTTTATCAATTTTCCTCAGGAAGAAAGCGTTCTAGTAAGTACAAGGTTTATGTACACACTTAATTCAACCTACTGTTTCATTGCTTCATAGTACGCATATTGGCTTATTACATATGTATATATATATACCTTTCATTTCTGATAAAATATTCTTGATGAGCTTAGAATTAATTCACAGACACTGATTTTAAATTAAAATCGTGTTAAGCACTAAGTAGAAAATAATACTTTTAAAAAATCCCAGTCACTGAAATCAAAGTAAATCCAATCTTTCACACTGTGGTAGGATCCAAGCTTAAATAGGGTATTTCTCAAACACCAACATTATTGAATACAAATGCATACTTCCTACATTAGCGGTGTACTGGAAAAAATCATTCCATTATGATAGTTATCCACAATGTTTTACATCAACCTATCATCCAACTTTATTCATTTATTTAAACACATAAACATTGGTACAAGGAAGCAACAAATAGATATGCTGTACATAAATCATTCGATTTTTGTGAGAGCTGGGATACTGCCTG